CTCTCTCTCTCTCTCTCTCTCTCTCTCCTGATTGCCTTAAAATAAGAACAGTTGTTACCGGATTTACCGAAGTCGGAAAGGAGTCGAGAGTTGGTTTCGGAGCAATCTATTACCCTCCCGACGCACCCGATGATGACAATGTTCTGAGGGTGTCGGATAAAATTCTAACCGATTAAATTTTGCTTGCTTTTGTTTATTTTTCAGGTTCGAAAGAAAGATCGAAAAAGTCGGAATCAGAACAAAGAAAAATCGGATAGTTTAGGAACTTAGGCATTTTTAGGATTTTTATGAAAAATGTAATTTATTATTATTTTTTTGTAATTTTTATGTAACAATGTAAAAATGTAAATTGATCTTAAATGAAAAATGAAAAATTATTATTATGAAATGTATACTTTCTTTTATTATCATTTTCCCCTTTTCCTTAAAATGAAATGAAAACCATGAAGAAATAAATAAAAAGAATGAAGTAATAGTCAATTCAAAGATAAAATAAAAATGCAAATGAGAACAAATATTTAAAATTATATAAAAAAATGAAGTGGAAATAAATATTTAGAGTAAAACAAAATTATTTAAAAAATGAAATGATAATAAAATTGAGACGAGCTAAAATTAAGTTAAAATGAAATGCAAATAACATAGAATAAAACTGATTTAACATAAAAGTGAAAAATAAAGTGAAATGAAATGAAATTCTACATTTTTAATTAATTCCTAATTTCCCCAAATTAACTGATTAATCTCGTTTTCGACAAAATCTCCGAATAACCTTCAGACAATTCAAAATGAGCAGCTTTATCTGGATAAATCCAACTGTCTTATTAAACTCAAATGATCATATTCTCCGGCTTACTTCAATCCACTAATTTGAATCGATTTAATTTTGAACAGCTCCAATCCTACACAATCTAACCAATCCAACTACACCTCAGCCCCAATTCACATCCACAATATCACACGGCTCAAATTTCCTGACTACAGCTCAAAGTTCGTAAATTGACAGCCGACTGCAAACAAAATACCGTTTTACCCCTCATAAGCTAAAGAGCGCGCCACATGATATTTTTCTGCAGAAATCAACCAACTACACAAGCTTGTTAGTGACTGGTTAAATGCAATGCAAAAAATGCAATGAAACGAGATGAAACGACAAATCTTAGGACAAAATTTGGGATATTACAGATATCCTTTAATGTTTTTAAGATTCCCTACAATTGATATCCTATAAAGATAAAAATTTGTATCCTTTGGTGTTTTCAAAATTCCCTCTCAAGAATGAATTTCATATATTTATGGCTGACAACACTACAAATGTACAATAACACAAGTTAGGCACGACGAAACAACCAAATAATACAAAGTGTTGGAAAAACAAATAAACAAATATCGGCGCACACAGAAGCAAATCCGTAAAAGAAGAAAAAGAAGCAAAAATTAAAAAATAAAACTCACAAAATCATAATTCAACTTCTAATTTTACAAGGACAAAATTATAAACCCTCTCGTATAATTACAATTTTAAGGAGAAAATTGCAAACCCTTTAAATTGCAATTTTTGAACGGAAAAATTGCAATCTCAAATACACTTTTTGAACGAAAAAATTACAAACTCTCTCTCAACTAAAATTTTTGTACGGAAAAATTCTAAACCTCTCTCAACTACAATTTTTGAACGGAAAAATTACAAACCCTTTCAACAAACTATTTTTGAACGAAAAATGGAAAACCCTATCTAAACACACAACTACCCAAAAGACTAAATTTTATTATTGTGCAAAAAACTCAAACTAACTATCTCTATTTATATTAGTACTTCAACTCTATTTTCTTTCTACTACCCGATTTGAGACTTGGATGAATATACTATTTGACTTAACAATTGTGTATAAATTCCTAACACTGATATAATTTTGTTCAACAATACTTATTTGAGAAATATACCATGCGTCTGCGATGATATGATTATATAAACTATATATTCAACTCAACACATAAAGAAACGTAATAGAGTAATTCACACAATTATTTTGCAATATCGAGAAAAAAGAATTTCAAAGAGAAAATCCATAAAACACAAAGTCACAAGTGAACATATTCTTGTTAAATTATAGGGGTGAATCTTGCTAACAGGTGTAATGAACAATGCCTTACTGGTGTATTTGTGGGTGATTAGGAGCTATGTTAGCATCGTGTTATGTTAAAACTCTTGATATTTTAGAGTTATAATTGGATGATTAACACTTATGTTAAGCCTTTATAATTGTAGGGGTGTCTGATCCAACCCGGTTAAAGACGCTAATATGGTCGATGATTAGAGGTAATAATTAGTAAAATCTATCTCATAATGGTTGAGAGAGTGTGGAGGCGGCGACTTAATCTGCCTTTGTGCAAGAAAAACTGTGATAGGAGTTATTAATGTCTATGTGTTTATATTCAGGTCATGAGCTAAGGAGCCTAAAAGTGAATCATGTGTCCAATTGGATGCGACAACCACTCTTATGCTGGTGTGCTGGACATTGATTGGTAAACTACAATGTCTAATATTGAGCCATATACTTGTATTTATATCATATCAAATTCACAATCTTTAAGCTTTAAATTAATTCAGAAGCATTATTATAACTATTATTTTTATTATAATTGATATAACTTATCATTTTTAATCATTCAATTTACAATTTTATAAAATATATTTTTTATTTTTTTTAAAACCAACTTTATTTTAAATTAATAATAAAAAAGTAAATGTTTTTTCAAAACCCTATATCTTTAAAATATCGACGCAAAACCTTTTGTAACAAACAAAATATTGATGCCTAATTTATTTGACTATTGGCAAATCCTCATTCAATTTCTAAAATACAACTCCATATACTTTAACATCATACACATATTTAAAAGATATTTAATATATTAATGTAGAAACTTTTGTACTAAAAATTGACCATTGCTTGCAAAATCTTGATGAAATTAATTTGTTTATGTCTAATTAAAGTCTAATACATATTTTTAAAAATCAAGAAAAAAAGATTTTATTTTATTTTTATGAGCAAAATACAAGTCCAAGGTATATAGTATATAAGAATATAAAAATCAATTTACAAAGCGGAAGTGAAGGCAAGAGTAAAACTGACGGAGGAGTAAAAAGTTGGAATCGTGCAAAACCGTAATCGACTCTCATTCCGCTTTCGTCACAGATTTTATGTAAGTGAAATTCAAATCCATGTCGTTTTTATTCTCTTTTACGCTTCCGTTACTGCGTTTTATTCTACACAACCCTAGTCGCTCTTTCAATACTCAACCGTTGCATCCTTCAAATTCCGTTTCAAAAATCAATTTTTTTCACACATTCCGCAAATTAAAACTCAATTCTAGGTTATTCACTGGAATTCCGTGGAATTCCGCCTTTGTTTTTTCCCTTTTTGAAAGGTGGTTTTGTTTGACTGGAATGTGGACCTGATTTCTATGAGGTGCAGTTATACTTTGATCTGTTTGTTTGTTTGATTTCTATTGCTCTTATTGGGATTGTAATTTCTGTTGATGTATGGATTTTTTAAACATGCATTTTTGATCATGTAATTTTGTAAGGTTTATTGATGATGGGGTAGTAGGTTTAGGTTGGTAGCTAAGAGCAGGAAATTGATTTGATTGATGAGTTTGTGATGGATTTTGGCTGCATTATTGGATGCCCTTATTTACATATTGCTCAAGTTACTCTCTTATGGATGTCCTTACTCCTTATTTGGGGGAAAGTTTATTGGGTTTTTCAATAGTTTGACTGCGAGCTTTGCTTGTTTATTAAGTAGTTAGTTGGCAATGTATCGGGAAGATAACATACATATTAGGGAAAAGGGGAATGGGGGGCGTGAGCCTATCAGTCCACGACAAACAGGGTAGGCGGAAACTGATTTAGAGTTGAGTGATCTAATATGGACTTAATTCACTACTAGCTGATATGGAAATTTTGTCGGATTCATGTAGTTGACCTGACCTAATTAAAAAAAATCTCAACTTCTATTTGGTCAGAAAAATCATCATTGTTTACATATGGAAAAGAATTTCATAGGAGGGAATTTTCTCACCCAGCACTTGACTAATTCTGAGGGTAGCAGTAAGGTAGTAAAATATAAAATATCTCAATTTACCTTGCAAATTTGGCAACTTTATGATTTATTTTACCCTGAGCTATCTAATCCCATGCGAAATCATTTACCATATTCAATTGTTGAAATTTCCGGGGAAAATTGAATATCGGTGATATCTTCAATTCTTTGGCATTTCAGTGTCTCAGATGCAACCAGTTTGCTGGCCAGGTTGCACGAAAAGTCCCGTTCTTTTTTTAGACAGTGAGCAGACAAGAGAAAATAGAAGAGATAATGAGGAGACTAGGGTTGGAGAGTTTACTTTATAGATTGAGAGGAATGAATATCGACTTGTTTGAGCCCATTTCAATTCAATGCTGCTTTTATTTCTTTAGACGGCAGAGGCATTGGGGTCTATGGCCCAAACTCCTTCTACATGAAACAAAGAAATCAATAATGCATTATTTCTTCGCGCAATTTAATTGGAGGGTATTATTTGTCTTCCTATAATATTTATTTAAGTGTGTGCGTGCACGCACGCGTGCTTGTACGTGTGTGTGCATCCATCCCCAAATAATTTATTGATATTTATATGTGTATACTTCTTCCCTTATATGTCCCCCTCATTTTGGTTGGATTTTTATGAAAAAGGAATTTGAAATTGTTGACTAGATTTTCTAATATCTATAATGAATCCTTTTGGTGTACATATCTGAGAATTGTGTCTTGGAGTGCTAAAAAATAAATGCTATTTTCTTTTAATATGCTTTCAGGTTATACTCTTGATTTGGATGTTTTCTTCAATTTTTGCAGTGCATATTTTAGAAAGAAGAGAGAAAACTAAAGCATTTCCTCCATTTAGCAAATAGTTTTTTTTGTTAAGGAAACTGGAATTGTAGTTCAGCTTTCCAGCTGATGCTTGATAATGTGGAGAATATTCATCATTTCATCAACTCAACTTGGAGACTATGTGCTCATCTAGGTTGTTGGGTTTCTGGGTTAATTTCAAAACCTAACAAAGAAGTGGTGAGTGAAGCCATTTTCATTTAGAGAAGGTTTGCATTTTGTTGTCATGTATGATGAAATGATCATGATCCTCTTTGAATGCAGGTTGGCTCAATTTCTAGGTTGGCCGAGGAAAGAGAAAATTGTTATCTAGATTCCATGGATATTGCGTATATAGATATTAGTTCGTCGGATGATGAGTTGGAAATATTGGATTCTGGGAGAATTCTTCCATCTTGGGCTGCTTTTGAAAGGAATTCAGGTAGGCGATTTTTATCAAAGACCCCCTCTAATTTCATTTTTAATCCGCAATCATCTCATATGTAATATTACGTGCAGATTCAAGAAGGGCAAATGGAAACACAAGTCAGCATCAGACAGTAAATTCCCGAATTTCTAATTCTCATGGTACCGATTATGAAAAAATGTCATCTCAACAAGCTCTCAAGAGGACCCTGCCATCATCTTTTCAACCTGGTCCTAGCAATGGAAACACAAGTCAGCATCAGACAGTAAATTCCCGAATTTCTAATTCTCATGGTACCGATTATGAGAAAATGTCATCTCAACAAGCTTTCAAGAGGACCCTCCCATCATCTTTTCAATCATCTGAAACAAGGGCTTTTCCACCTTCATCGTTTGCACCTAATAACAGAGTAAGCAACTTAAGTAGCAGTCAGCTTCATGATGCATACAGGAGTCGTCACCATGGAGTAGGACCTAGCACGTCCGGTGAGAAGGGCTTTTTTCATGACAATTTTGGCAGAGGCAATGATGGAGATCGTTTCATGAATCAGAACGGTGGGACCAGAGCTCTTCCTCCATCTCTGATGATTGGAAAGGCAATAACTCCACCATTTGCTAGTTCTAGTGAATCAGCATACCGTTCTGGAATAGGGGATGAAAGGGCTCCTGAAACTGATGAGAGACTAATTTATGAAGCAGCATTACAGGTATTTCATTTCGTTTATCCCTGTATTTGCATTTATAATGCCTTAGATTCTCAAAATTGTATGAATGAAATATTCTGTCAGTTAGGTTTTAGTGAAAATCATTTAGTTGAAAGGATCATTTCATCTCTTAATGAAAAAACTTTCCTTAACTGTGAATCCATATTGTGAAGCTTCATTTGGATTTTATATCATATGTGAAATACTGTCAAAGTTACTCCTTTAGAAACTGGTGATAGCTGTTGGCTGGGTTTAAGATGCAGTGCATGTGGATAATCGGGCGAATTTGCTTGCTTGTTATTTCTTAGTTTTTGGTGTTCAATGTCAATTTTCTTTCTTAGAAGGGTTTGAACTCTTCTACATGCTAGATATCTCGTACCCCTATACAGGTATATCGGGTTACTAAATTGTTTTACCCGAGGGTGTTAAAACTATTATTCAACTTCATCTTGTCAGAAAATAGTGTTTATGTTTTAGCAGAGCTATCTAGCTTGTGCCATACCTTGTAGTTATTCCTAGTAGGTTCTGTATTAGTCACTGCTATCTGTTGATTTTGTTATGGTTAGTTCTGACTAACTGATTGTAAAGTTCTTAGTTAGTTCACTTTATACCAGTTCTCTATAAAGAGCACTGTTGTATCTTATTACCGAGCTATATATTTGCATTAATGCCTGTGGTAAAGATAGGACATTAGAAGCATATGACATTAATGTCTGAAAGTGTGAACTAAATTTAGGGGAATGCTTGAAACTATGCTAATACTGAAACCATAAGGGAAACTTGGACATACTTCAAAAGGTACAAACAAACATGCTACAACAATACCTCTAGGATTGAAAATACAAAAACACAATAACAACACCCATTTAAAATAGTAATTTGCCAAGTGTATGGGATAAGACAGTTAGATTCACGAAAAAATTAATACATGATTTTGAGATGATTTGATTTGAAATCTTATGCTTCATGGTGTGTCTTCTGCATCAATATGATTTGTGGAAGACGCTTCAAACATTAAATTTTCGGTTTGTCGTATATTAATCTTTAATGTCACTGAGAGTCGTTGGGACACAATATTGTCAATGATGAATTTGGTTGTTGCAGGATATCAGTCAACCATTAAAAGAAGCCGATTTACCTGCTGGCATAATGGCTGTCCCTCTTATGAGACATCAGGTATTATGGTCTGTCTATTATAACTGTTACTCCCTCCATCTCACAATATTTGTTGCATTTGACCATAGGGATGTCAATGGGGCGCCACCAAATTCATTCCCCGCCTCCATCCCCGAATCCTGCCATGGGGGAGTTTTTATCCTCATCCCCATTCCCCGCGGATCTTACAGATATCCATTAACAGTTTATTTTTAAAAATCTGTATTTTCTGTCAAAATAAATAAATGCTAGTATTTCACACGCCCGCGCCCACACATATATTATTAAAAATAGTAGTATTACACATTTGTTATTATTTTTATTTAAAAAACACTAATGAGGCATAAAAGAATAATACTTCTTCATAAGTTATAGTATGCCTAAAAAGCTATAAATTTCAGCAACATAAATATGCTTGAAAAGCTATACTTCATTAAAACTATTGAGACATAAATGTAAAATTCAGCATCACAAGTATGCATGAAAAAGCTATACTTCATCAAAACTAATGAGAATAGCGGTAGCAACACAACAAAGAGGAGATGATAGAGGAGGGTGAGGCGCGGCGGAGAAGATGGAGGAGGAAGTCATGCAGAGATTGCAGCAGGCAATATATGTTTGATGGCAGAAGAAAAAAAGGAACTAAACAGATAGAAGAAAGGAAGACTTTAGTTTTTTTTAGGGTTTTAATATCTAACTTTCTCCCTCTCTCTTCATTTCTCTCGTTCTCTTAATAACATACGTAGATATTTATTCTTTTTAACAAAAATAACATAAATGAAAAGACAAAAAATCCTAATATAAAATACAAAATATATATTTACTTAAATATATTGAAATATATAGGTGGGGCAGGGACCCCCGTGGGGCGGAGGATGTATTCCCCGCCCCCGTTCCCAAAGTGCTACCGAGGTAATTTTTCTCCCCATCCATGTGGGGATAAATTCCCCATCTTTGGGGCCCTGAACGGGGAAATCCCCGTGGTCATCCCCGCTAATAGATGCAAATTGGCATCCCTATTTGACCATTTCACATAGATAAAGAAAAGCTGATAAATGAAGGGAAAAGTGATATTTTACTCAATTACCAATATTAACTATTCACATATATCCATATCATAAGTGCAAATTGAAGAATAATAATTTGGAAGTGGTGCACATAATATTAATTAGAAGGTATAGTTAGAAAACAGTAATCAATGCTGCATTAAAAAATTGAAAATGACAATTGTTGAGTCATTTTTGTTGCAAATGTAGTAAATATTGTTGATCGGAGTATTATTTTATGTTATAATTATTTTGGATCATTTATTTGTTATCACTTTATATTCCAGAAAATTGCATTGGCTTGGATGCTTCAGAGGGAAAATAGGAGTTTGCATTGCTTGGGGGGGATTTTGGCTGATGATCAGGTTAATCTTTGAATCAGTAGCACATGGTATTTAACTGTTGGGTGTTTTTATCTGAACTTCATAATCTTGTTCAAACAGGGCCTTGGAAAGACAATTTCAACAATTGCTCTCATCCTAATGCAAAGGCAGTCACAGATAAAATGGAAAACAGATGATACATGCAACCATAAAGCTGAAGCCTTGAATTTGGATGATGATGATGATAATGGTAGTATTGATGTGGAAAAGCTTAAAAATGATGAAGAATCCATTGATACAAAACCTATTATTGAACCGAGTAGTTCAACACGGGCCCCAAGTAGGAAAAGGCCTTCTGCTGGTACATTGGTTGTCTGCCCTGCAAGTGTTCTTCGGCAGTGGGCCAGAGAGCTTGAAGAGAAAGTTGGAGATGAAAAGCTTTCTGTTTTGATCTTTCACGGGGGCAGTAGGACAAAGGATCCTGTTGAACTTGCAAAATATGACGTGGTTCTCACAACATACTCACTTGTGACTAATGAAGTTCCCAAGCAACCTTTAGTTGAGGATGATGATATTGATGAAAAAGATCGCGAAAACTTTGGCTTATCCTCTGATTTTTGTGTCAAAAAAAAGAGGAAAAAGACATATAATGGAAGTAAGAAGGGTAAAAAAGGTAAAAAGGGAATAGACGGTTCTTCTTTCGATAATGCTTCTGGCGCTCTTGCAAAAGTAGGTTGGTTTAGGGTTATTCTAGATGAAGCTCAAACAATAAAGAATCATAGGACTCAGATGGCCAGAGCTTGCTCCAGCCTTAGAGCCAAAAGAAGGTGGTGCTTGTCTGGCACGCCTATTCAGAATACTATTGATGATTTATATAGCTATTTTAGGTTTCTGAAGTATGATCCTTATGCTGTGTATAAATCATTCTACAATACAATAAAAGTCCCAATATCCAGAAATTCAATTCAAGGTTACAAAAAACTTCAAATAGTTCTGAGGACTATAATGCTACGTCGAACAAAAGGTGATTTTTTTTTTCATAATCTGGCTGCTCATTTCTTGGCTGGATAGTTTGTATGAATTTTCCGTTTTCCTAGCTTGGTTAAGGTTTAAAGTGATTTTGCAATATTGTTGCTGATCTCCTCTCGAGTGAAGTTCATCACTATAACATGCTAGGTATAAATATTTGAATGTTGCCTTGCTTTATTCCAAGGTCATACCACAATGTTCCAGGGTCTTATAGTGGTTATATACAAATAACTTGCCAATGGAGGACTGCCTATCTATTAAGCCAGCATTGATTGGCTAGATATACCTGCAAATTACAATAAAAGCATAAAAGCACACCAATTTAATTGATTCAATTTAGTCCTTCCCTTCATCACTATATAAATAATGAATTTATTATTTATTAATGGAGTATAGTATGCAAATAGTTTTATGTTGTCGATGTATTAAACTTTCTTGTTTTTGGAACTATGGTATTATTCCTTCTATTCAGTGAGTTCATCCTTAATTTCTGTTACCGAGTCTATGACCCTAATGTATGATGTAATGAATTTGAGATTGTTTCCAAATGTTTTACCATAAATATAGTATTGTTCGGTTGAGGGAATGTATTGAACAATTTACTCATCAGCGTACTGGTTTGTTTGAGTGAGCTTGATTTTCTTTGAAGTTGAAGTCATGTTTACTGTATGAGGGTGATTATTGGTCTCTTATGTTTACTCATCAATTGATTTTATTTGTCCAGGAACTTTGCTTGATGGCAAGCCGATAATTACTTTACCTCCTAAAACAATTAATTTGAGTAAGGTGGATTTCTCGTGTGAAGAGCGGGCCTTCTACAAGAAGTTGGAAGCTGATTCACGTTCTCAATTTAAGGTTTATTTCCTCTTAAATTTCTTATATTAGCTTGGACATACTGTAATGATGCCATTTGTTTTTTCTTTTTGAAATTAGTGTCTAGAAATTTATTTTGATAGTGGGTCAAGTCAATCACGAATTATATGATTTTGTTGTTCATCTGATATTTCTATGCGGATGGATGTTCTCAGTTTTTAGTTCTGAAAACAAATGCTTGTAATTTGCAGGCATATGCGGCTGCTGGCACAGTGAATCAAAACTATGCAAATATTCTTTTAATGCTTTTACGTCTCCGTCAGGCTTGTGATCACCCACTTCTTGTTAAAGAATACAACTCTGATCCTGTTGGAAAAGATTCTGTCGAAATGGCAAAAAGGCTTCCAAAAGAGATGTTGATAAATCTGTTTAATTGTCTGGAAACAACTGCCGCTATATGTTGTGTCTGCAATGTGAGTTAATTTTGATCTGATACTTCATTATTTGTTTCTTTGTTGCAATTATGCCTCATAAGAGTTTTTGATCTGGTATAGATCCTTTTGGTCGTATCTTACCCATCTTACTCTTCCTATGATACATGTTTTGTTATTTGTCTAAAAATAAAATTAGTAGGAACACTTCTCTATGGTTTGAAATAGTAGCTATGCATTGTCATTAAGGGCTCTGGCTGATTTGTACTATGGTTTCAACAGGATCCACCCGACGACGCTGTTATTTCGATGTGTGGTCATGTCTTCTGTTATCAATGTGTATCAGAACATTTGACAGGTGACGAAAATATGTGCCCTGCAAATCATTGTAAAGAACAAATTGGCGAAGATCTTGTTTTCTCCAAAGCAACTTTAAGGAGTTGCATCTCTGACGATCTTAGTGGCAGTAGTTCTGGAAGTTCGAGCCTTGTTGATTATTCAATAGTACAAAATAGTGATTACAGCTCATCTAAGATCAAAGCCGTCCTTGAAGTTCTGCAGTCAAGTTGCAGATTGAAGGCTAATTCTAGCAACAGATATTCACCGCCTTCTGATGATTCAGATATTGAAGATTTTGATTCAGATGTCAAGGTTACAAAAGTCACAAGAAATTATTCAGAGTGCACAACTGGTGGACCGCTAAAGGCTATAATTTTTTCTCAATGGACTACCATGTTGGACTTAGTTGAGACATCAATGCAACAGTCTGGCATAAAATACAGGAGACTTGATGGTAGGATGACTCTGACTGCGAGGGATAGAGCTGTTAAGGATTTCAATACAGATTCTGAGGTTTGGCCCTTATCTAACGTGTGTTTCAAATGCTTAAACCTAGGTTTTCTTTAGTGGCTGGACTAACTTGGATGTTTTTTTTCCTTCAGATTACTGTTATGCTGATGTCTCTAAAAGCAGGAAACCTTGGTTTGAATATGGTTGCTGCATGTCATGTTATTCTTTTGGATCTTTGGTGGAATCCAACTACTGAAGATCAAGCTATTGATCGAGCTCATAGAATTGGACAGACTCGTCCCGTTACTGTGACACGGATCACCATAAAAGATACAGTTGAAGATAGAATACTGGCTCTTCAGGTTTAATATCTATCAGTTGAATTTTATTTCATGTGCTAAAATGAGGTTATACTTGGTATACAATTGAGGTGATTTGTGACTTAATAATTATTTTCTTGTTCACCTGTATTGTGCAGGATGAAAAAAGGAAAATGGTGGCATCTGCTTTTGGTGAAGACCATGCTGGCGGTTCTGGAACTCGGCTTACAGTTGACGATCTTAAATATCTTTTCATGGTATAGATTCCTGTTGACTATAGTATGTATGGTGACGGTCTTCAAGTTTTGTTTTCGATGGCTCCGCGTGAAGTTATGAAGGTGTATGGCTGTTTTTTGTTGGCTGCTGACATTTGTTGATCAAGTTAGCTGGTGAGGCCTGATTGATCGATGTAGTAACTTATATGTTTTGAAAGCCCACAAGGGCAATTTTGTCCTCCCAACTGCTATATAGCTTTAAGCTGTAAATAGGGTAGTTAAGTATATGGTTTAGGATGATATTTACCTTTGGTGTACTTCTTTTACAGTGTACAATTTTTTTAAATACTACTTTACTCTGCATGGAAATCAATGAAAGGTTGTTAAGGTGATCCCTTTGGAAATTACTGATCATGATGTGGAGCTAGGTTTATTGTGATTTTGTTAAACTCTCTAATTTAAACATGCATAAAAAGTTTGACTCCACCAGAGTAGTCAATAGTGGCGCTCTCCTATTATAGAGAAGTGGAGGCCGACCGCAACGGGAAGAGGCTTAGCGGTGCAAAATACTAGTGTCTGCAACTGGGTAGATAGCAGGATAGCTGAGCAAAGCAGAGCGATTCTCGGTCCAGAGCGGTTTCTTGCCCGCCATCCTTTTTCTCTCTAAAAAAATAAAATTAACCCTTAAATTCAAGGGATTTCTAATCCCATCCACAAAATTACCCTTAAATTCAGGGGATTTGTTATCCCATTCTATGGGTGGGAAAATGTCCTTACTATAGAAAATTTAATGTCCTTCACATTTTAGAGATACTATAGAAAATCTAATGTCCTTCCGATTTTAGAGATGTATATTTGGATGCATTATGTAAATTTAATGTCCTTTAGATTTTAGAGATGTATATCTGAATGCATTGTGTTAAGTAAAAAAACAGAAAGGCACCAAGAATGGATAAAAAAGAAGTTCACACTATTTTGCAATTTTAAAATCAATAAAAAAACAAATAAAAAGGCAAATAAAATCTAAAAAAAGGATGAAAAATATTTAAAGCACAAACAAAACCCAAGAACATTACCATAAGTCAGAAACTATCATAGGATCATATGCTCATTTCCTCATAATTTTAAATAGCTCAAAAATAATTTTAAGCCAATTAAAATTAACCAAATAATCCAAAAATACATGGAAAATAGCAAAATTATAAATAAAACAAAGAAAATCACCATAGGCTCAAAACCATCATAGAATCATATAATATTTTTTTTCATAATTTTAAAATGTTTAAAAACAATTTTAAACTAATTAAAATTGGCTCAAACAAATCAAAATTCAAGAAAAATAGCAAACTGAAAAATAAAAATGCACAAAAATAAAAAAATAGAAAGAGAAAAATAAAAGGAAATTTTAGAAAATATTTTAGTATTTTTCTGATTAAAAATGAATTTTCTATGAATTTCTGAAAATAAAATAGAAAAAGAATATAAAATAGAAAAAATAAGATGCGTTGGATCTGAGCTCATTAAATGACACGGCTAATCCAAAGACTAGAAAGCGCGCATCCACGGTGGATATGAGTCAACCTCATCATTTCCAACCAGCGAAGGTCAAACACACCAGATTAGAACAAGTGGCATGATGGATGGTGAAATCATCATCTTCAACCTCCAGCCACTTGAATATTTCAGAAAATTGCAGAAATTTGAAAGTCCATAGCACCATAACCATTGGAGCTCATAGTGGTTTCTTCTTATGCGTCTTTTCAAGACGATCTCAACCATATCATCGCGCCATATTTCTTTAAACCAAAGCTCACTCGATTTGAAAATTAAACATCAAAACTCAACCAAAACTAAAATCTAACAATCCTAACAGTATCAGCATACCAAGGACTACATCTTATCAACAAATTTGAGTTAAAATGGTTGAGAATTGTACCTGTTGCAGTTCAACTTCAAAGCTCTGAAAATGAAGTCCTCAAACTTGATTCAGTCCACGATCCTTCAAGTTCCTGAGCTGGTTAGCTTCATTGAATGTTGGTGAAGCTAACTGAATGGAGAATTTGAGTGTTTAGGTGTGGAAATGAAAATTCGAAGTTCAAGCTTAAGAGTTCAAATGAGATCTCAGCAGGGCAATTCTGGCTATCAAAGCTTGTGAAAATGAGTGAAATGAGTCCCTTATTTATAGGAGAAGCTTTAAGAATGCCGAGGGAGGGTGAATGATGCAATTTTGAGACAAATTCGTGCACACTTGCAACATGAGCAATTTGTGACTTGAAAATTGTCAAAACTCACTCAAACCTTGTGTTTCAATGCTCTAATCAATCCAAGAAAGTTTGTTAATCATGTTTAAAGAGAATTTGTGGCTTAATTTGGTGATTAGAGGTCATTTCAACCAAATTCAATTCTGACTTGAAGTGAATTTCAGCTTTGAAATTCAAATTTTGCCACAATGACTCTCACAATGTAGAAGGCTTTATAAGATGATTCTTCTTGCATTGGATAGAAAATGATGCAATCTTTGCAATGTGAAAAGAAAATATTGGTTTGGCAGTCTGAGTTGAGAGATATGATTCTTCAAAGTAGCTTGCATGAAAAAGTTCAAAATTGCAAAACACTTATAAAAATTTCAAGTCTTTTTAGGGACCAAATGTGACCTATAATGTTTTGATAAAAACCAAGACCTTCCATATGTTTTTAGCACTTTCACCTTAAATCAAAATTGTAGAGGACATCTTAAAATTCATTTTAGAAAAAGAATGGGCTCCAAATGATGAAAATAGACCAAGTTATGACCTTTTAAAGTTGACTAGAAAATCCTTCCAAAATTCAAAATGACCTATAATGTCTTCAAACTTTTGATGACTTTCCAAGAATAATTGGATCTTTCCTTGCAAAGAGAACTTGTTAGGGATGATGAGAAAAATTCATTAGAAAAAGAACCACCTCAAGATGTTGAAAAACGAAGGAGTTATGCCTATTTGATCATAGCATCCACAAATTTCTAAATTAAGTCAAACACCTTGAACCAACTTTGAATCTCTTTATTGTTTCTTGCAAAATAAGCCATGGTGAACCACATATGATCTTGAAATGATGTTGCCTTGAATCATGCTTGAGTATGAGGGACCTTTGGGAGCTTGAGAATACCATAAAGTCAAGAAGTGAATCTTGCTTGAGGTTGAAGAAACATACTTCTCCTATCTTGAGAAACAAGCCATGTATTTTAAAAAAGGTTTTAACTATTAAAAATAAAATAAAAAGAAAATAAGACAAAAATAAAATAAAATGAAAGGGGGGGGGGGGGTGAAACAGTAAATCCAAAATGAACTGGCTACTAGTTGAACATGCATATGGGCCAGAAACAGGGGTGTGTAGATAGTAAACATGCAAGGCCCATTGTCATTAAAAAACCCAATCAGAATCACAGCCAAAAAAATGCCACGAACGCAACTCATTAATTGACCTGGCATATGAATCAGCGCCATGTGGAGGGTCAAAGAGTCAGACTAAGGCCAACTCATCAAAAACCCTAGACACCGGAGCAAAGTTCTGGTCATCTTCTCCGATACGAGCTCACCTGAGCTTTCTGAAAATCTCTTCAAAACCAACCAACAAACAAACATACTATTTCGAAGGAAATTTCATGTAGATTCCATATATGGTATCGGTTTTCATTTGTAAACATTTTAAAGTCTTTTAAAACACGCACAAAAATTACACATTCAAACTGGAATCTCAAAAAACCAACACAACATTAACATGGGCTTACTCTACATGATCTTAGACATTCAAAATGGAAACCACAAGCACACACACACGTAAAATGCAAGAGAAAAGGGGGTGGAGACAATTTACCAAATGGAGAGCTCGGGCATTCTTTGAACTTGCTCAAACCTTCCACAACTTTCTTTCTCTATCTCCAAGAATCCTCAGAGGTAAAGATGGAAGCAAGAATATAGAGGAATAACCCTTGATGAGTGAGATTCAAAAACTAAAAACTTTTGAGAGTGGGAGTGTTTAAAGGCTCTGATTTTGATCCAAGATGGTGCCTGCCCTCATCCTCTAGGGTTTTTACTTTATATATGAGGGTTTGGTGAGTTAAAAGTGAGGTTCCTGTGGTTAAAAGTTGTGGTCATTGAGTTTGTGAAATTTTGAAAAATGAAGAGTGGGAATTAGGGTGGCTCGGGTTGTACACATGTGAGGTGTATTGGGATTGTATTTGTGAGCAAAAGGAGGATCAAAATGAGGGTGGATGAAAGGTACATCATGAGGTAAATTGGTGTGCAAGTTTGTGTGTTTCCACTTTTGGAAAAAATGGTTCAAAATGATACCAATGGTACATGGGTGTGTTTGGCTGGTTTATGTAGTGTTTTGGCATCCAAAAGAGTGAGGTGTGCGCATGAGTTTGAAGCCCAAGGCTTGCTGCAAAGGTAGATTCATATTTGTGCCCAAAATTGTGAAGCATCATGTATGAGAATCATGTTCATATGGTTAACTTTGAACCAACATAACTTCATGAATATGAAGGTGAGAAAAACACTTAGAAGGGGGAGGGGGGGGTGAATAAGGGTTTAGAAAAATTATGGCAATAAAAACAACACAATATTTTTATCCTGGTTCGTTGAACTCAACTAATCCAGTCCACCTTATCAAGGTGATTTGCCTTTCTCCACAAGGACTTAATCCACTATATTCAAACAGATTACGGTGTCAACCACTAAGAACAACCGTCTTAGTCTTCTCAAGAAATCCTGACCACAACTTGGTCTTCTTAAGGAATCTTTTACAAATAAATGTAAACTAACAAGTGTTTAAGATGCTTCTAAAAAGCTATATCACAAACTGTGATTTTTACACTTAGTTTAAGAACGAATAAAAACTATTCAGCTTTGAGTAAGAAAGATTGTAAGAGAGTTGTTGAATAATTTCAATGAGTTTGTCAATAATTCGTTAACCTTGAAATGTTATTGAAGACATCCTTTTATAGAGGAAAAAGTCCAATGCTTTAAGACTGTGCGTAGCAGAATAGTTGTAGCCTTTTGTCTTCT